TTATTCCACTATTGAGCAATTCCCCATACGCGTATAGACATTCAGATGAATCTGCCTATATTGTACTTGTTCCATTGTCTCGAGCTTAATTAATCGTCGTATTTGTTCATTCCAATGCAACAAGTAAGAGCACTTTTGGCATTAAAATTCATACGCTTGCACGTATACCCATAATAATATAAGAAGAAAAATTCATACCAACTAAATCAGCCCAAGACCTGCATCGAAGAGAATAGACGTGCAAGCCCCACCACTGGAAGCTCTCTGGTGTCCATTGCTATTCAAAACTCGGGTACAATAGGCTAGGGGTAAGGCGGAAAAGGTCCGATCGAAAAATATTGAAGCTATAATATACGCGAAGTGGTGATGGTAGCGAGTACATGAGGTGCACGTATGGAGGCCTCGAGCCGATAACGAGCGCGGAATCGAAATTCGCTCTTACACGAGTAGAGAACACGAGAAGTAACAGCGCGAATGAGGGGACTGCGGTCCATTGTTACCTTTTCTTTCGCGGGCCAATGGTGCCGATGCTTACAGTTTCGCAACTGCCCACCAATATACGTAATACGCTGAGTATGGGTGGTGGTGGTGACCGCCCATTGTGTTTCGGGGGAATATATGTATTCAAAACGAGCAGAGCAGCACTCCTTTGTATAGGGTGTCGAGGGGGGGGGGGGGAAAGCTCGATGTGTTTTCGATGTTTACGCCGTACGTGCACCGACTCTCGAGCAGCTTCTTCCTTTGCCTCTGTTTCATTATGTTGGAGGCTGGAGTGTATATAGTCTTCGTTTTTCGACCACAACTCCGTAACGGTTTAGGCTGTTATGCTGCCATCACGTACTAGACACTCTTGGTGTAACTTTTTACTGTCGTAATCTGCCCTACGTGCATGGCTCTTAATGTCAAGTGGACGGGAATATTCTGTGGGGTGGACGAATGAAAGTGCCAATGAAATTTCACAACAACGTAATAGTCTTCCTTTTTAATATATAATATGAATCATAATTGAGGTTGACAATAATATAATTATAATATAATATATGTTATATGATGTCGATACTCTTAATAATCGTTATAATAGTAATAATAGATATATTTCATCTATATTCACATTCATAGCTATTTACACACTCTTGTATCTGTTTTTATTTTTTTTATTTTTTTTTGTATTTTTCCACCATTATTGTAATTTTTATTTATTCGTTAATTTTTTTCTTTTATTTTACAAAGTTTGCGAACTACATTTATACTTGAACGAACGACCGAATGACAAATCAACGATAGTTACCAATTGATAAATACACATAACTAGGATTTATTGTGTATACTTTTCATCGTGCAAATTCACAGCAATCAAATTTTTTTTTTTTCACTTGTCCTTTTTTCATTACCAGCCGTTGTCATCGTCATATAGTCGACTCGTCGCATGCGAGAGCAAAAGTTTCGCGGCGAACACGTATACACTGTATGGACACGTACACACACACACACGTACAATACACAAGAGTGGAAAGAAAAATAGTGAAAAAAAGAAGCAATCGCTCGCTTGTATTATTTACAAAAGAAAAAAAAAAACATACTGTTTTTCATATACATGAATTTTTTTATAGAAAGCGACACGATCACTTGTAACGAGAGAATCGCTATTGCGCATGTGCCGGTTCTGGGTTTTTTCTTCCTTTCTTCCTTCGCATCCCTGCAAGTGTAGCAAGTGCATGTGTTATTATTATAGCTCGCCCCGTTTTTCACTTACGCGCGGTTCACAATTTGTATTGTATATGTATATATGCTCCTCCTCGTTTACATTTATTTTCTTCACCCTCTATACTTCTTCTTCTTCTCCTTTTATCACAGATATAAATAAATGTATCTTTACATAAAATTTACATTTTTTTCATTTGCACACGGACTTTTATCTTTTCTTCGTACCTTCTTTCATTTTTTTTTTACTTTTTTTTTTTTTTCTTCAAATCATACACGATACATGTGTACTCATGACTTTGATCGATTTTAGAACACTTTTTTGCGCTTCGTTATAATTACTTTTTTACGTTGAATAATTTAGTCCAACATTTTTTTTTTTTTTTTTATGTATACTCATCGAAACAGTTTATTTACACAAAAGGGTCGAATATATTCTAAAATCGATTAACAATTTTTTTTGCTACCCAAAGGAACTTTTGGCTTCAATTTCAACGTTGTTCGAGGACACGATTCGACATTTTTTTGTCCAAAGTGTAAAATTTTCCTCAGAAATTAAAAACCATTGATATGTTTCCGTTGTTTACGTATTGTTTTTTCCACAAAAAAAGAATTTACAAATATCGATCGGAATTCGTTAATTTTCAGATCCTCGACGCGCGCTGGCTCCTAATGACAAATACATGACAGTAAACACTTTCATCTGCTTCATCTGTCTCATTAAATACTATTGCACCATTTTTCCTATGCAAACATCATTACCACAAATACAATAGAAATAGTAACCATATCAATAAAAATAATAATGAACGTGTATACTACGTGGCTTTCATCAATCATAACTGCGATATTGTTGATATATTTATTTTACTATGTGCGATGGTTAATGTTCATTATTGTATATAATAATTTTTCTTTTTCTTCACTCGTTTATTTATTCTTCTACTACAGAACTGTGGTACAACACGTGTTATTATTCATGAGAGTATATTAATAATATACGTGGGGGGGGGGGCTTAGAGAGCATTTTTTATTGCATTTATGTATACGGCTATTGGGTGACACCTTTCAATTTTATGTATTTATAAAATCTTTTTTTTTTTCTATTAACATTGACTATTGCCAGTGGAAGCCAGCACGAGCTCTGCCACTCCACAGCAGCACCATTAACAAATTATCATAATATTCGTATTATTACTTGGAAACTGTGACATGCTTGTATCATATTTATAAGTATTATAGTTGTTGTTTACAATAACATGCTTTTTATGTTGAAAAAAAAGACAGGAAAATTGCTTGACTGACACGCTCAGCTGTTAATTTTGTATTCTTGCTACTTATTGTATGCAGTTTTAATCGTTTGCTGGTCGCTATGAAAACGTTTATCAAAGAGGATAACAAACACTAATAGAGTAAAATATTCCCCTATTGCACCGTAGAAGCATGTCTTTTTTTTATTGCAAAATCCATTTTGCAACGAAATAAAAATATTCACACATTCAATGAAAAATACTTTACACTGCGTTATTCGTGAAATCTTAAGAATCTAGTTGTGTGTGTATATTTACATTTTTACCACGTATATATATATATGTATGTTTTTAGTAAGTTTTAAATGTTAAGAAAACATCATGTCGATTGTTAGAAATACCCTTTTATTAAATTGCAAGTTTCGTTGATTTTTCTTTTTTTCACAAACGATACATCAATAATTGTTAGTTAAAAAAATTCCAAACGCAATTCGCACAACAATTCTAATTGTAGAAAAAAAAATAGGTAAGTCGTATTCACAGATGAAAAAATGAATCGCGTGCAAAGTAACAAAACCAAAGCAAGCTCAAGGTGCGTTGTTTATACTATAAATAACATGAATAAAAAAAAAAAAAAAAATAAAAAAAAATTGTCCATCTTCACAGCTGAAGAAAGACAAAGAAGAACGGAAGAGATGCGCGGTGTCCACAAGCACCCTCGTCTCTTGTTCTCCTTCATAGTAATCTTTATAATCGTTTTCTATTATTTTCGTAATATAATATAATATATCATATAATATGTATATTTTCGCGTAAATTTTATTTACTTATCCGCCGCATGTATATTATATGTGACATATTTACAAAAAGACTTCTCGTACCGTTGATGCGATACGCGCTCGTGACTTTTAAACTCAATGATCAATAAAATTATCATAATAATAAAAAATAATAATATCATTGATAATAATAATAATAATAATAATAATAATAATAATAATAATAATAATAATAATGATAGCAATGATAATGATAATAAAATCGTATTAACAAACAGTTCTGTCATTTCGCCGAACCATAAAACGAAGTGCCGCTATTTTGCCTTGCACATTGCCCGTGTACTCTACATGTGTATGTATAATATTTATGTATTATATTCACGTGTCATAGTGTAAAAATGTGTGTACTATCATAAGAAATCTATTTTTTCCGTCTCTTCTGCTGATAAAAATTACAGTTCACGTGCTTGTGTACAATCTATTTCAAAGAGAGACTTCCAAGGGACAGCAGCTGATGTATAATAATGGGCTCACGGAAACGAACAAGCTTGCAATGCGCTTATACCCACGTATCACGTGCACGAGAGCGTGGTACACTCAAGTCAAACATGAAGAAGAAAAAAAAGAAAAAGAGCTTCACCGGGTTAAATTTCGAGCTTGCAGAACCGGGTCCCTCCGGCAATTCCCATTGCCGTAGATCAGCGCGGCCGATTCCTGTAATCCTTTTTCGTAATCCCCGCCAGGAGAGGGGAAGGCATCCTTCCGCGGTAGTGCACCGACACCCGGTGTCACCCCCTGGCGGAAAGAGCCCGGAGAGTGAGGGGCACACGCGATTTATGCGTGGCCCTCGGAAAGGGAGCGGCTCCATTATTTCGCCTCGAGGTTCACCTCAACCCCGACTACTCCCCTCCAAATGTATGTGTGTGAATGTAAGTCTCTCGAAGGAGCCCGCGCGCTTGCGCCATCCAACAATGGGACGTGACACTTGTCGTGTTTGCGTGTGCGAATGTGCCACCGTCGGTCCCCGGCTTTTCTTGCTCCCTCTGCAGATTTCCCGTTCTCGGACTGCGGTCGACCTGCAACAAAGAACCAGAATATTGCGGTCTGTTAGCCGAGATGTCTGATGGTATAATGTTATATCCCTCTTATGTAAAATCATCAATGCTCAAAGTAATATTGTCATTTTCATTCGACTGCTAACTGGATCGGTGTTTGGTGCTTGTTTCAGAGGGGGATTGGATTGCGGCCAAGCCGACTCGGGAAACTCACTCTGCCGTCCACAAAGTTCAATCGCAGGTAAGTCCGAGGAAACCGTATACATATACCAAGTTTACTTTGTCATCGGTTCAAAATAATTGTGTGCAAACTATTACTCCTCGAGCGCAGTAACTCGATCGACAGGGTATCAAAAACAGATGAGTTTTATCAGTCATCCAATACATTCACACACGCACAGGAGCTAAGAGGGGACAGTTGAAAGTAGAAAAAAAAAAAAAAAAAAAAAAAAAGAAAAAACTACGTATCGCGTTACTCGAGTAAGAAACTTCAATACCATTGGTTTAAAGTACCACGACGCGGTGGTGTATCGAGACCGAGAAAAAGGATATACAGGCGAACACACACTGCATTATCGCGTGCAGCACAAACTCTCTCTCTTGAGAGACAGAGAGAGTGCCAGATTTCATTGCTGGCTTTATCGCGGAAAAGGCAGTTATATTCTTGTACCGCTAATTATTCGATAGGATAAAGCGCCGATTGACTTATCATGGCCCCCCTCCCCTTTTTCGTCTTGGGATTATTCGAGTTATTCAATTGCATAACCGATTAGATTGTGGGAGCCGCGGCTGAGCGAGATAAAAGCAACGAGCGCCGCGAAACAATTAGCCGCCCATAAGCGCCATTTGGCGAGCACGAGTTTGTATCGTCCGATTCGGCGCGTAAGAATCAACGCTCGAAAGTTTAGCTGAACCGATGATCCCCCCCCCGCTGGTATATAATGTATAAGGTAATCGCTAGGCTGCGATCTAAGCGCCGAGGAATCCCCCCGTGCGCGAAAGCTCGGAGCTATTATTGCCACTTACATGTAGGTGTGTGTGTACACGCGGGAGAAAAGATCTCGATTCGCACCTCTGCTCCTTATAGAAATCGAAGGGGAGGATTGAAGGGGGAAAGCCGCGGCTCGCGCCGAGAGAGGACGGGTATGCGGCGCTCGTTAAGGGGCACGTATCCTCTCTAGCGCGCGCGAACCGAGGAGGAGGAGGATTATCGGACGTGTCGATCGTCGCGGTGCTTATATGTATGCCGCCTCGAAGGTGCGAGTGTATACATATAAGTGCGTGCGTGCGTGTCGTCGCGGCGCGCTATGCGTGTTATGCCATATGGGATTCGTGTACGCGGTTGCCCGAAGCATCGGCGCCTGCCGATTTTTTTCCGTCTGCGGGTGTGCAGATACACCGCGGGATGTATATGCTGTCGGGCGCGAATTTATGAATGCTATATACGAGCAGGAAACTAGTAGCCGCGGAAGTTTTGAGGGAGCTATACGCAAGTACACGTCAGTAGATCGAGTCCGGTACACGGTGAGACGGGGTTCTATCTGTCTGTCTCTTATAGGCGAGGAAAGAAGGGGGGGGGGACGAAGGGGGTTTGTGGAAATTATTAAGACGATCATTATCGCGGCTGGTCGTCGGCGCTGCTGGTGTGCGCGAGGTGTCGCAGAAGCTCTTGTCGCGAAAATCACCAATTAGCCAAGACGCGGTTGCCGCTGCTTTTGCGAAAAGGAGACAAACCGGTTGGGATGGCAGTGGCAGCAACTCGGGCACACGTGTCACCCGCGAGAAAAGTCCCTGTCAGCGCACGAGTGTTTTGTACGCGTGGAAAATAATCGTTTTTTTTTTTTTTTTTCTAATTATGAAAAATATTAGCTATCGCAAAACTGCACCGACGCGGGAGCCAATCGTTCGTTAAACTCGTTCCGGCATACTCTCATCGCGCGATCGAGGGATATCCTGCAACAGCAACGCGGGGAATCACAGCTGTCGCTTGTTTCCGACGGCGGGACTCGCATCACCGGGGACGAACCATCAATCTCGTATTCGCCATGCACCGGGTATGTGTGATTGATGGGCGCTGCCTCTGTTGCGCGGGGTAATGGGACTCTCTCTCTTTTGGATCGTTAACTCTGGGGGGAAGAGGGGGGGGGGTGAAAAATTTCAATGATTTTGTTAGCAATTATTTCAAGCGTCGCACACTAGCGGCGCGAGGAGTTTTGCAACGCGGACCCGCTGAATTTAATTGAATTAAAATACTTTGCAACACGTGTTGGCAAACAATGCGCGGCCAGCCAATGCGGAGGGGGTTGGGGACGTAATAAATCGGTAATGAGAAAATTTTCAGCTGCGACTCGAAAACAAACGACCGCAACGATCGGGATGGGAAGTATATAGGGGATAAAACGCGCGGAGGAGAGAGGAGGAGGAGGAGGGAAGTGTGGACGCGATGCAATAGGGATTAATCTTACGGATCGCGGAATCGCTGGAATCTCGTTTGCGAGGCTCGTGTGTGGAAGGCGAGCGAGAGCGGGTTCCCTGTTTTAGCATACCACCGATTTCGCGTAACAATGCGCCTTTTCGAGTTTTATTTATTTTTTTTTTTTTCCCTACGGGTGTGTGCAGTTTGTGTGTCTTTTGGCTCGGGGCTTTCTCAGGATAGTTTTTGGATTTGCAGGCTCCGTTTCCCCCCTTTGAACGCATTCTATTGAAAGCGGATTTTCGCCGATGCCTTGATGTATCGATGTTGGGAAATAAAATACTTTTGAGTGACGGTCTATCGCAGAGCGGATAAAATGTATTTGTAAAAATGTCATTACAATCGCAAGTACTTGTGGGATCTGTGGGAAAAACCACTCGATCACGCGTACGTTCGATTTGAATACAATACTGTGAAAAATACGTATAGGTACATACAGCGCCAACTAATTGGCGTCGATGGAAACTCGGTGAAATCGGTCTTTCTTCGCGTCCTCGTCGATAATTTTGCAAAGTGCGACCCCCTCCGTGGTTGCGTCAGTGCGCATTGCACAGTGTGTTATTCTCTTTGTCTCTTTTCGAAGCGACAGAGGAGATCGTTTTGGACGGCAAATTTGTACGACGATTAGTTTGTATTCGCATGCGGGGTCTCGCGAGTTGCAGACAAAAATCGTTGCGTCAAAGCTGGTATGAACGTGAGTTGCGCAAGGCTATGCTTCGACGAACGAGGGACATTTCTCTGCTTTGCAACGAAAACTCTCTCGGCGCTTTTATTTTGGGTTACCTGATGCTTGACGGGCTATTATACTTTACAGTAAATAACTTGTGCCGTGGAAATTACAAAAAAGGGATTTTTTTCTTCCATATGTGACTTCAAACAGCGCGGGTCCGTTGAGAATATTACTAAGTCATCGACGACCTGTACACCTGTGTACAGTGGTTCATGCACCTTTGACAAAAATTTTGTTTTACACAATATGTAAAATAAAAAAAAAAAACTCGTCTCCTGGCGAGGCAGATGGTATATTTATACAAATTAAAAAACGAAAGCTCACGCAAATTGTATACTCGGCTGCAGCCCATTATCTTTTTCCAAACTCGTGGAAAGACGGAAGGAGCTTCCATGCAAACGTATCCTTCGCTGCGATGATGATGGAAGGAAAAATTAGAATATCTTCGGGTAAATTAAAGGGATTTAATGATAAAGACGCCGCTTATTCATTTGCTTCCGTACACGCACAGCTCATACATTATAATAGTCGCTTTCCACCATCTGCTCTCTTTTATTAAACTCGTAAATGCACAGAAGGTGGGAAAGGGCAGGAGGACCGGGAAGCGCTTATTTGTATAATTATTACTCTTTTTCCCTCAACTTTTTTTTTTCTTCCAAAGCATAATTCCGCGCTACGGGTTGGCTGTTATTTACTGCTCTTCATTAATGTTATTTTTATAACATAATTACATGGAGTCAGATCTCAAAGAGCAAACCAAAGTATAAACAACAATAGGAAGATACCCAATTGAAAATTGTCCATCAGAAATGTGACCTCGACCACCGCTATTGGTACTGTGGATTTGTGAGTTTTGCGGCCCAACAGTCAGGGAAGATAACGGCGTAAACATGTAGTGAAATGTACATTACTTTGAATTTACATTGGAAGTTTGTATCACGCGTTGGCGACATAATGTGAGCCCTATTTTATTACTCGGTACCGTTTAATTTCATAAAAGTAGGACTTATACGTTGGTTTCGAAAATCGGAACCATTGACTTGATCAGCGATTACAGTTACGATTTAAATTTTTCTACGATTTAATCCAAAGATCAAATTTTGGCCTCTACAAATCTAATTCAAAAAGAGCTAGAAGACTATGCACGTACCTGACTTTCTGTCTTGTGTAGACGGGCTTTTTGCCTCTCAGGTTTGAAGTGAATTCGCAATAAAAAAATTTAAAAAAAGTTTCCCATAATTGTTCAGAATTTCTTTTTCCCTTGCTCGCATCGCTTTGGAATCCTGGGGATGAAAGGGCGTGTCCTCTAATTGTTAAATACCCATATCTCCGCGTAAAGTTTCAGCGTTTGAACTCGGGAGAGCAAATTTTTGTGCCCACCCATATCCACGTGCCGGCGGGAAATATCGCTCGTCGTAAATTAGCCCAAAATTTATCGCCAACACCATGAGGTAATTGCGCATCGAATAAATATAGAGCGATAGAAGAGGCTCAATTTGCGCCCGTGTCTCTCTTTCCCTTCCTACGTAATATAAGTGTACAAAGGTATACCTACGGGGTTGACGAGAGAGAGAGAGAGAGAATATGGGAAAAGCGCGTCGAGAGGGACGTGCATGTCGTTAATTTGCGCGAGCTCTTTCACTCGGCGTGCAGTGACACACCGCACGCACTCTTCGTTCTGGGTATTCTCTATTTTCCTCTGGCCTTTTTTTTTTCATTTTTTCTGTTTTTTTTTGTCTTTTGAAATATCAATTTTCGCGCGAAAATTGCCGAGAGCGCATTTAACCGACAATTACAATAATAACGGATAATGGGAGGACGCCCGAGCGAGCGCAGATCCCATTTTCCAGATATAATGTAATATTTCGAGTGCCCCTCGCTATTCCATGTGTATATATGCGTACACATTACAAGCACACATACACTCTGTTGTACGTATACGTACGTATACTCGGAAACCGGTTTTCCTGTCTTTTATGTTGCACGTAAGTACGTACAGTTGCACATTAAAATTTGAAGTCGGAGTTATTTATGCCGGAGCAGAGGAATAACGAGCGATATCGATACAGGCCATTAATCGTTTAATTTTTTTTTCCTCCCAAGTAATTGCTCGCATTTTTATCTCTCCCCCGAAAATTGCACAATGTTTCATCGTCGAGTTGTTCTCATCCATGCTAATAATACAAATTGTATCGCAATGGTTGCAACAACTCTATCCGTGAATCGCTGGTGGGCTCTCGTGTCATTTCTCCTCCCGTTTGAGAGACTCGAAGCTCGCGACGAGAGAGTCGAAGGTTCTCTTATTTCCAGTCCGACCGAGCAGATGTGCATGGGTGTATCTACTCCTCTTTTTCCCGAGGCCGTGTGTATATAGGGACGCGACACGAAAGGAAAAGCGCGAGGCTAATTATTTCCGAAATGTATTAATGGCACTTTGCTGCCGATCGAGCGTTCGCCGAATCCGAGCTGGCGTGCGTTGAAGTATAATAACGCCTATATGCAGTGCAGGCGTGCGAGGGTGGATCTTTCCGTTTTTTAAATGTACCTTTCTTTTTAACGTCACGTGCAGCGCAGTTTCTATTTAAAGTAAGTATATAGTTCTTGGCATCGATAATCGTTACGTTTCATTAAAAGGTTTATTTGACCGGTAACAGAATACGACTGTTTTCCTGTCCCACGTGCAACGAATGTCTTACTTTTTTATTTGTACAAACAAATATTTAAGAAAGACATTGTCTGGCGCGTTGAATGTATTTTACAATCGATGGTCGATTGATTTTTAAAAACTAGCGGTCATCCAGCATTTTTATGGTTCGTTTGGTAGTATGGATGTATGTTACATTCAATATTATTAATATTATTATTATTATTATGTCAGTTTGTATAGGAACTCGACGACAATACGATGGATCATTTGAAACGATTCGCTTAATCGATTTTAAAAATATTGCCGTAAAAATCTGTAGGTATTAAACGATGACTAACGATGGTCGAATGAAAGAATAAGCTTATCGCTATTTTCTAAATATACTCAAGTGCGTGTGTGTGTGTGTGTGTGTGTGTGTGTGTATGAATCTATATGTACGAAAGAGTTAAAACAGACAGATTTCATTTATCCATTGACTACACTACGCTTTGTATACCTATGGCGCAGCGATGCGTGTGTAGGTACAGGTATATATACCGATACCGATCCGAGATACGTATATACAGGTATATATACATCCCTTTCGCAGTTGTTGACTCACATAGGCAGTCACGCACGACAAGGAGGAGAGGTTAGTTGGCCGAAGATGGCGTCGCCCAGCGAACTATCCCTGGAAGAGATCCGCAGGTACCTGCTGGACAAAGGCGGCTCCGCCCGTAATCAGGACCTCGTCAAGCATTTCAAAAAGTTCCTCACGGACCCGGAGACTCGGGGTAAGCCGTCGTCATCCATCCACTCGCGATACCAAGAAAACTTTAAATCAGACATCTGCTCGTTTTGTTGTTATTCACGCGAGTATTTCATTCTTGTTTTCCAGTGGAGGCCAGGAATAGGTTCAAGGAGTACATCAACACCTTGGCGACGATCAAGACCGAGGAGGTACGTTTACTGTTAAGTGCTAGGATTAAGAGAAAAGTTAACGTGCTCCATAACAGATTGTGCGTGTACATATATGTACTTCTGTGCTGTTCTCTCTGCATATGAGAGAGAAAAGGATGAAGAGATTGACTTGTTGCACATCTCTGCTGTGTTTATATACGTGTATATATAGGTATAGCGTTGCTGTATCTATATACTTTTTACACACGCTTGATTTCATTCACAATTGTTTATCCAAGTGGTGACTAAGTAGGTATTGTGCGTGTTTTACGTTTATTGATACGGTGATTTGAATTAAGTGTACGTGCGTAACAGAGAAAGGGATCTGTCAGTTTTGAGGTTAAGAACTGTACAGGTGTTATCAGCTGTTTCATTTGAAGATGATTAGAGCTATTTTTACATCTGTTTGCTGTTTCTTTTTTAGCTTGGGACTTACTCGCTTGAAAATGTTTTTAAAATAACATAATCTGCAAAGTGAAAGTGTAGTTTTTTTAAGAGAATTTGATGGGATGAGCAAATCTAAAGTTTTGTTTTTCAGTCAAGCTGCTAGAAGCTTATTGATAAAAAAAATTGGTATTTTCTTATTAGTTCCTTATCAAGCAGTGAACAACACAATGTAGTTGACCAAAACTAGTTTATACCTACAAATTGAGTTTAAAATAATTGATATATACCCTATGCACTTGATGTTTTCATTACACTCTGATATCCAAGTCAAATTAGATCAATTCTCATAATTGTGATATTGTGTGTGTTTAGAATTTTAGTGATGTATAACTGCACACCGATTTATCATAATTATTTCACTAGCATCCTTTTGTCTTAAGCAGATCATTGTTTTGTGTGTTTCAGGGAGAAAAGTTTCTTGTATTAAGAAAAAAGTTTCGACAGCCTTCATTAGATCTCTCATCACCCNAAAAAAAAAAAAAAAAAAAAAAAAAAAAAAAAAAAAAAAATTGGATTTGAACGTTATCAAAGAGTAATATTACACTCAATTTTGTGTTCTCTAGTGACAATAAAGCATAAATTTAGTCACCTGCTTCCTTTCTCCACTTGATTTACAGCAACGACAACTCATCGATCAAAAATACACGCGACCCACGCTACGTTGCGCACAAAAATGTTTTCTTTTTAATATGGTCCGAAGAGAAGCGATGTACACACGCGACAAGGTGTAAATTCAGCAGCGGCGATTTATCGCACGTATAGGTCTCAGTTGGCGACCGTACACGAGATGCTCTCCAACGCCGCGAGCGAATTTCATTACAGATTGCGACGCTGTATGCATCACACGTGTGTATACATACATGTTCACCCAACCCTCGGGTTACCATATAGCGTTACGTCTCGCGCACTCGATTTGGTTTCTCTTTGCCGTGGCTCCTTCAAAAATTTGCATTTAAAGATGCAGCCGCGCTTTATATTATTTGCCAATATAACTCCGATTGCAATGCGTAGGTACAACTTTTCACTCGTATCTTCAACAGCTCATTTGGGAGAAAATTGATTTTCATTAAGTTACCGTTTGCTATTAATTGAAATGGTCGAGTCGAAAGTGCCTCTAAATATCTCATCACCCAACGACAAGTGACTCGATAAACCACCGAATCTGTGAAAAACTAACAGTAACCCATATCGCAGCAAAGTCTCACGTGACTCGACTATACTGGTATAAAAAAAAAAAAAAATCCTGTAATTGCCATTAACAGCAACAATCCTCCCTCTAAAACCAAACAGAAGGACCCAAACCCACTCACTCATGCGCAGGGCAAACACATAACTTATCCTCTTTCTCTTACGCACGTCTGAAAAATGTAATCCCAAGCAATAACTCACGCAAAGATGAAAATCGAAGCTTATAGATACACAAGCGAGACGCGCGTGAGAGAGAGGGTGTATAGAGCGGCTGCACGCGAGAATTCCCTCTCTCTTTGTGTATACACACAGAGACGCCTCGAAATATCACTGGCGAATCGAAGTGGACGCGCGGGATTATTTATACGGGCGCGCGAGTAGCCCCATCGTCGCCGCGGGGGAATTATGCCGTCAAAGCACCCCGCGGAGCTCGCCGAACATTTTGTCGCGGATATTCATAAATAAAGAGGAGCATAAGTTTCGACCATACACACATACAGCGGCGAAGGGGGACACACACGCTCGATTGGGGCCTTAGCCGTGGCGATAACGAGCGCTAACTTGTTGCGGCCGAGAACGCTGGTATACGGCAGCGATTTATCGAGCGATGCCCGTGTCTAGATCCTTCTCCCCCCCCCCCAGGTACAAGAGGCTGACGAATGGGAGAGATCGGGTGACTTATACGGAACCCCGTGTACACGGCGGGTGTATTTTGAATTATCGACAGCAAGCCCGGCGTTGGAGGAATTTCGTCAATACGCGCGCCCCGGCTCTGACGGATTGCCACGTACACTCTTGCGCCCCGGTAGAAATATTATTCCGGGACAGCGAGTGTATAAGGTTTCGATTTTCGCGGTGGAGGGAATTTATGGCCCGCTCCTTTTGAGAGGAGAAGAAGAAAAGGAGGAGGAGGGGAAAGGCCCTTTCAGCGGCGCGTGCAGTGTATTAATTCCGACGGCCGATAAATATCGGGCCTCCTCTGGGGTCGCTCTGTCCGCACCTCGCGCCCAACGCGGCTTTATTAAAATTCAATTCCTCGTGAGCATTGGTCCTTTGGTTTCCTCCTACAGGAGGGGGGCTACAAACTCGTTAATGAGTCACTTATAGGGTTCCTAAGGAGGCGAAATTTATGTACCGGACGCGCGAGGGGCGGTGCCCAAATAGCCGCTAGAGCCATCAACCGTACACTACCCCACCCCCCCTTCCATCCGCCTCGATGAGAAGATCCATAAACTCGGCTCGCGCTGTAAAGTGCTAAAAAGAGGAACGGAGATGGAACGGATGGCCTCTCCCTGAACAAAAAAAAAGAAAAAAAAAAGCTTGAACCGGCAGCTCTGGTTGATAAAATTTATGAAGAAGTCGTCGGTGGAGCGGATAGATCGGCCGATGAATTTAGGACACTGCGCGACCACCTTTCAACGGCCCTCCAAGCGAAGAGATGGGATGTGTATCCTCTCCAGCAATGGAATACCCGCGCGGCTACTTGGCAATTACCATACGGGCCTCGCGTATTATTGTGTACTCTTTCAAAAGCCAGCTACATATAAATCTGCTCTATTATGTTTGCGTCGTACAGGCCTCTTTGTCCGTAGTTTAGGAGGATGTTATTATGAGCTCACGAGGGTGTATAGGTATATACCCGGTCCTGTTTTGGCTGAACGAAAAACACACACGTAGGGGGGGGGGAGGGAGAAGGGACGAGAGGCGAGGTGACGACAGTGAAAACTAGTTTATTCGGGACTCGGCTATAAATTAGGATCAGATCGCCCGCCGGATAAGGATGTCCCACTAACACCCGGCTCTACCTAAAAGACATTCTGGGCTCTCTTCTTCTCCTTTTTTTTTTTTTTTTTTTTTTTTTTCTTTACCTCATCGAGTCTCACTCTCCCGCGCGTTTGGCTCTTTTTATCCTGCCTCGGCTCGTCCTTCCTGCCAAAGTTTTTCTCGACTTCTGGATTCGAGTTCGCTCGCGGTTGGACGAATGAAAGTATAGGTACATCTCGCGTCTTTTTCCTGTTGCTCTCTGCACGAGAGCCTCGCGTTTTAAGGACCAAAGAATTTATAGGACAATAAAAGCCGCCACGGGACTGCCGTTATATTATCCCCCCCCCCTCCCGTACATACCTGTATCTCTCTCGTGCACTCCCGAGAGTCACTAAAAACCGATTTCGTGTATCAAGTGCTCGATTCCCCCTTTTCGCGCGTGTGTTTGCCGTTCCTTTTTTTTGTTTCCTTTCGCGCGTGAGAATGAGCCTCGAGAGCAAAAGAGAGAGAGAGAGAGAGGGAAAGGTTTGGATTTTGGAAACGCAAGCAGAGCCGAGCGAAAAGTTGAATGAGCGAGCGGCGGAGGAGCCGGACGAAAAAGAGAGGAGCGGCCCAGCTGGCCGTGCACGCGGGGAGACGAAACGGTGACACGCGAGGGAGGAGGCACGGGTTCCCATTCAGCGATTGAAATCTCGGTCCATTTGTTACTGTCGGGAAGGTGGCGATAGCCCTTCCCTCTCTCGCCCCTCTTCCATATATAACGTAATGTGTGTGCCCACACGCTTTTTCTCTCTCTCTCCGCTCGACGCAACCGTATAGTATATTATAATATTACATACACACACGGCTATTATTATTTCCGACGGCCGCTCACCAGCTATAACGACCAATCGCTGCACCGGGATATTAATTCCTTATCGATATGTGTGTCAGTCCTCTCTCGCTCTCTTTGGGTGTTATACCCGTGTATATATTATGTACCGTCAGTCGGGGGACCGGCTGATTACGATCGCTACACGAGCTCTGCTCTCATGTGCGCGTACCGTTGTTCTTCCCGACTCGGACTTGTTATATTTACGCGACATCGTCTTTGTCGTTTTGCTACGAGCGCGGTCTCTCTATACCTGCGGGCGTGATGTGCAACGGGTTCTAGTAGCCCATTGGACCTACATCCAGTCGCGTCTGGGGTGTGAAAATAAAAAAAAAAAGTACACAATATATCGAGTACATTGGTTTGGCGTTCGAGGTGTACTTACCGGCCTCGTGAACGGTGGTTGTGGGTCGCTTAGCTTGCTGGTGGACGGGAACGGTGGGTCCTTAAACCGGCGACACGAATCCGCTGCTCATGGTCTGGGACCTGCAACCAGAGGAGCATCGATTCGAGGATCAACACACTTGTACCTAGCGACCATCTTCTCAAAAAAAAAAAAAAAAAAAAAAAAAAAAAAAAAAAAAAAAAAAAAAAAAAAAAAAAAAAAAAAAAAAAAAAAACCCGCTCGTTACGTATACTCGAACCGTCCCACCTGTTGCTGCCCTTCCCTCCCACCCTGCCCCGAGTACGAGTTTGGGCGAAACCATACAAATGAGCGGCCATTGCCGAAAACCCAGCCAACTAACCGACCGACGGGGAGTTAAGACCAAAGCTCGTCATCGTCACCAATCACGAAAGCCCAAAGAGCCCCCTTTCTTACCCCTTGTAGAACGGCTTGAAGGCGGTGGTCGCCTCGGTGGCCGGTAAACTGGCGGTGGTCTGATGCTCATGGAGCAGCGCTGCCTGCGCGCCACTCGCCGACGTGTAGTCCTTGTGCGGCGAGTTGGGCAGCCTCGTGCTGTAACTCACCGGCAAACTCTGCAGCCCCGTTTGGCTCTGCATGTACGCACCCGCCGACACCGCGTAATGCCCGTTATTACTGCTGGTGGGGGTACTGCTGCTGTTGTTGTTGTTGTTGTTGTTGTTGTTGTTGCCACCAGGGCAGTAGCCGGCCGGAGGTACCTGGATCACCCCGTTGGGCGTGCCGACCTTCATGTTGGGTGGTGTCTGTGGCGGGGTGTCCGTACCAACCTCGGGAAACCCCGCCGCTGCCGAGGATGAGGCGTTTGTTACCGACGAGCCGGCCGTCGTCGAGTTCGGGTTGTAGTGGAGCTGGCCCCCCGAGGAGGAGGACAGAAAGCCACCGTAGCGGGCACTGCCGCTCGAGTAGGGCGCCGTGGCCGCCGACGATGGGCTCATCGACGCCGCCGAGGGCAGGGCAAAGTTGCTCAAGCTCCCGGTGCTCGGGTCAGCGGCACCTCCACCCGTAGCCCCCAGCCACGGCTGTTGCGAGTGGTGCGACTGCGCCGTCAGGTGTTGATGATGGTGATGGTGCTGCTGCTGTTGCTGGTGTTGTTGTTGTTGTTGTTGTTGCTGTTGGTGGTGGTGCTGATGCTGTTGATGTCCGTAGTGTTGTTGTTGTTGTTGTTGTTGTTGTTGTTGTTGTTGTTGTTGGTGTTGGTGGTGGTGGAGGTGGTACTGAGGGTGGTGCGGGGGCGGTGGGGTCTTGCAGGCGGCGGTGTCGGCCAGCGACCAAATTTTCGGCTTAGTCGCGGGAATGGGCACCCCGGCCGCGCTGCAGTCCGACTTGAGCACGTCGTCTTTCAAGTGGTCCTCGGGCCCGTAGCCCGGATGATGGTGGTGGTGGTGGTGGTGGTGCATCGTGTGGTGGTGATGGTACGGATTCCCATCCCCCGATCTACGGGGATCCTCCTCGAGATCCAGATCATCCTCATCCTCGAGATCCTTTTCGTGCTGCAGGTGCTCCGCCTTCACGTGGCGCATGGACTCTGCAATATTCCGCACAACAAAGCAAAAAACATTTATATATACATACATACACGTGTTTGTGTGTTTGTGCATAATCCATTGTTTTGATTGGGTAATATTTGAAAGTAAAAAAATGAGCTTCATGATGCTTCTTTTGTTGTTGTTGTTGTTGTTGTTGTATAGATCCTTCCATCCCCCGAAATAAAACCGTAAGAGGACAAAGCAAAAAAGCCACACACGCGCAGTTAAGAATTCAGTGGCTCGCAAAACGTCCACTTAGCCGACAGAAAAAAAAACATCAGGGGCTCGGCTCCTCTATACGTATATACGCACACACATGACGTATATAGTTATATATCTCTCGGCCCTTCTTAATTGGCCCACAGCTCCCATACGTACCATATATATAGACACACGGACGCGTGGGGGGCACACCGAGAGTGCGCGCGAGAGTGGAATATTGGCGTTAATGGCTCGTGGTGGTCCCCGTGGTGCGAAAGCGAGACTTGGGCTGATGCGTGTCATTGTCGCACATACGTATACGTGGGTGCGTAGGGGGGGCTCAGCTCGAAAGAGCGAAAACAAGTTAGCCGGGGGATACCAGGATGAGGGGGGGGTCCAAAGCAACATATATCCATCCGAAAAAGTCGCGCGCATCGGAGCTATACGCGAATAAACTCCCCCGGCTAGGTATATATATATATATATGTAGGGCTCTCTGCCGGGATGCTGCGAAAAAGGGGACAAGAGCAGCGGGAGTGAGACACTTTGGGGCGCAAGAGATTTCAGCTTCCCTCGAGTGGTCTCTCTCTTTCTCTCTCACCCTGTACAGCGATCTCTCTCTTTGCGCGCGCGCACCCCGGCTCCTTTCTCCACTCGGAGCCAACGTACACATATTATATACACACAGATAGAAGCCTCCAGGGGCACTCGAGGATAGCCATGGACCGTCTGCCAGCCAGTGACTCGGTTAGGGGTGAGAATTTCATTAAGAGGTTCGAATGAGCCGAGTGGGCTCGTGTGTATGTGTATATGTATACACAGTTGATGGCTCGTCAAGCGATAATTCCCAAGCCGGGGAGAAGGGCGGCTGCTCCCCTTTGCCGTCGTCTTCCTCGGGAAACGAGGCGTCGACGACCAGTTGGATGGAGACGAAAGCTCGGGCGGTGAAGCGAGCAACGGAGAGAGAGGGAGGGAAAAGGCTCGCTTTCTTTGGCCTTAGGGTTGCCGACCCCTAAAAATACATACATATATACCTGTATTTACACGAGGAGCGTATAGCTTATGGGCCAACTAAATAGATACTGCCAAGGAGAGAGAGAGAGAGAGAGAGAGAGTCCACAAGTGGCTCTTTAACTTTTGACCTTCTGCCGGGTGTATACGTCGTTAATCGAATCAGCCAACAGACGCTTCTCTCTTACGGATTTATGGGGGCCGGGGGGTTTACGCAACGCGGGCCATTTTATGCGAAATCCAGGCCGGTCGCGTTTTACGACAAATTGACTGCCTCTTGAGTAAGTACCTTGGAATTTAAGGCTCAACTGGAAAACACCGTTCCGTTAGCCAAAATGACGGCATGGCCACGGAAGCGAAGCGACGATAAAAAAAGAAAAAAAAAAAGAAAGCAAGCGCCTCGCATTTGCAGCTCTCGAGGGTGGTTAAAACGCGTACACCAAATCGAGGCTTGAGTATCCACGTACTATATCGGAGCCGGACGACACTCTCTCTCTCTCTCTCGTCACATCCATCGCCAAGCGAACGAGAATTAAATCGGAGAAAGGAGCCTCGATGTATAATACACGCGCCTCTTTTTTCGTGCGAGGCAGAGTCAGGTGGAGGCGTATACAATATACACGCCGTGGTGCTCAAAGAATACGGGGGGAGCGTCGACGATACATCACACTCGTACGGCTGATGTTCACCAAACTTGGATACGCGTAAGGTAAGTATGGATGTTTCCAAGAGAAACAACGGAGCAAAGGGAAGGCTCTCGAAACACGTGAAATGTGGGCGAAGCTTGGACGAATAAGCGCGCTTTTCCAAAAAGTCCATTACTTACGGGTCACCCAAAATGGGAAGATCGATCGTCATCACCTTTGAATTATTTTTCCATTCCTCCGAGGATGAAATCTATCAATCCCGATGATAAAGACAAAAACACCTCGCCCACGCGCTCCGTGTAGGACCATATATATATATATGCACTCGGGCGCAATAATGATATAACGCAAGCCAAGGGGAGCGAGGGTGTGTCTGTGTATATCGAAGCAGGAGCCGAAACGAGAAAGGGCCGAGAGCTAGGCCATTAATCTCCTCTCCTCGAGCGGCAAGCCGCAACCCGTCACTGTGTTTACCCACATGTGAACCATTATGTCCGCCCCCGCGATATAGAGAGGAACTATGGAAGGGGGCATTTTGACACTCGCATCACTCCAATCTCGGCCTCTGGCTCTTTTTGCCTCCTCGTAGGGATGGGTTTTTCTCGAGGTGTAACCAAAGTGCCAGTCTACTTGTCAAAGAGGTGTTGATGTTTTCTTTGTTTGACGAGCCGTACTGAGTACTTTTTTGTACAAGTGCACCATAGGGCCCGGGGAAACATGTATAATAAATAGGCTCTATTGATTATTTCCTGAAGCACAGCGGAAGCTGCAGGGAAGGTCACAAAGATTTTTTTAGGATTTTAACTGCGAGTTTTATTATGGGCACGACTTGTGGTGATTATTTTCGAAAGATTTTCTAATTACTAATTTTAAGAAGCAGAAAAAGTAAACAGATCAGATGAAACAAGGTCTTCTCTATAGCGTGTGCCCGAGGTGTATAATTGGATCTGAAAGTGAGTTGCGATCAACTAATACAAGTGGGAATGTACCGAGACATTTTAATCAAGGCACGACGAAGGGGGAAACAAACATTTCTCTGTATCAGTCGGTGAATAATCGATGCCCCTTTTTGTCTCTGTGTATTCGCGAACGGTAAAAGAAAATCCCTGGACCCGTCAGCTCGTACAATTATTGCAGTCCGTTTTAAGAGCCCTTGGTTCTTTTTTTTCTTCCAATCAATTGACATATAACGATGGCTTGCGTGCAAACAAACGAAGCAAATTTCCCCAAAGTTGAAGTTCATATTATGTAGACTCACCAGTGTCGTCGAGTCCCCGCCTGGGGTCGTCGGCTCGGTCCTGCCGGCTGTCCTGGCCCATGTCGTCCTTGTCCTTGTTGTCCTCGGAGTCGGTGAGGTTGGCGTCCTCGTCGTCGTCCGTCTTGTTCTTCGGCTCCCACGTCATCTTGTTCTCCTTCTTGAGGCGCCTCCTCGCGTTGGCGAACCACGTCGAGACCTGCGTCAGCGTCATCTTCGTTATTATCGCCAGCATGATCTTCTCGCCCTTGGTCGGGTACGGGTTTTTCTTGTGCTCGCCCAGCCAGGCCTTCAGCGTCGCCGTGGACTCGCGCGTCGCGTTTTTCCGCCTCGCCGCCAAATCGTAGCCCGCGCCGTACCTGAAACACCAAGAGAAACGAGCATTTTTATTTTTATTTTTTTTTTTCTCTTCCCATGCCTCGGGAGTTGACGCAAGCTTTTTCGGAAAATCTGTTTCGGCCCAGAGCGAATGAATCAACTCGCGTGGAACAATATTTTCCCGCCTTACACATATACTTATACGAGAGGGGGGGGGGAAAGGTCCGGTGTTGTACCACGCGATACGTCCTCGGATGAAAATATTGACGTAGCAGAGTTGGGTCAACGCGAGACATATCCGCAATCAATTCATCTCCGTCGATCAATCAATGTTTTATCGCCTCTCCCCCTTGGCTCTCCTCAATGTCCCTCTCAGCCCCCCGGCCATTTTCTTCCCATATTTTTTCCCTCGCCTGTTTTACTACCCACTCGTCGATCCCCCCCTCCTCCCCACTCTCCTCGAGTCGTGAATATCCCTCGGAAAAAAAAGCATATACCCATCCGAAAAAGAACAGTGTATTCCCCGGTGGATTCGACCCGTATTATACACACGCGCTCGTGCGCCCACCGCGAAGTACCATCGTACGCGGGTCCATAACGTGTATACACTCTCGGCGTCTTTTGGACTTTTTTTTTCTCTCGTTCGCTCCCCCTCGTCCTGCTATTTCTCTCCGCGCGTCCGTCCCCTTCGTTTATGTGTCTCCTTTTTTTTTTTTTTTTTTTTTTTTTTGTTCCTCCCCTCCTGTATATACATGCCTTTGCTTCCATATTTTCGGTCATTTCACGCGTTGTGCCCCGGACGCGAATTAATACAGATGTGATTTTTATGGTGATACGCCTGCGGAACACTTTGTGCCTCGGCCCATCTGTAAGGTGATTTATTTTGCGACGTAAACACACGAATACAGTATAAACCCGACATGCGTTTCATTAAACGAAAAACAAAAATTATCAAGTCACCGGCGCGTCCTTAATGTACGTATCTCCCGTCGGACGGACGCAGCGAGGAAGGAAGGAAGGAAGGAAAAAAAAAAATCCACGAGCGAGAGGGGGTGACGGTATATCTCGCATACATGTATAAACCACCACCAGCACCGTGCAGTATACCCTATAGAGTGGCGTGATTCCGTCGGCTCCCCGCGAGCGCACTCACTCACCGTAATGGCCATCCGATCGATCCTCCGTACCCTCCCTTTTTTTTTTTTCTTTTTTTTTTTTTACGCACGTACACGCCCTCGCGAAAAATATTCGTTCCCATGTATATATATATGCACCCTCCGACGTTTATTCGCGTGGAGCGATGCGGAGGATTTCAAGCTAAGCTGCGCGGCTCTTTTTTTCGCGACAGTGTGTATATATAAATGTACCGGGGTGGGGGAGGAGGGGATTTTCGAAGCTCACTTTTGCCGACACTTTCGGGGTTGCGAGCTTTTACGTGTTTCAAAAACCGAGACGTATATATATATACCCAGGGGCGATTGATTTTACATCGAGCCAATATTGCGAATATTTGATTGATCACGTGGCACGATGGTAATGAACAAACCGCGCGCCAGTTGTGTGTGTCGCGGAGACAGAGAACCTTTTAGCAAGTGTGGATCAACTCGAATCCATACCAGTAGGCACCTATTTACACACAACAAAAAAAGGAAAACAGGGCGCATACATATTGGTATCGATAGCAATAAGCCCGTTCGAGGTATACACACCAACACACCCATATATTCGTGTTTGCACGCACTAAAAGTGATTGCTCGTCCGTCACGTTCATCTCGTTTTCTCAATTAGCGCGAGCTCGACTTGGTCTTTCCCTTTTTTTTTCTCCCCCCCCCCCCAATATGGTTATATACGTCTCGTGCACACGCACGGCAAACAGTCTTTTTCTATCTCCGTTTCTCCGCACTGCCGCCGCCTTTGTCTTGCAGTCGCGACTCCAGGGGGGGGGAACTCTCTTTCTGCCCGTGTGTTTGGAGAGCCGAAGCTGCAGGAAAAAAGGAAGGAAACGAGCCGAGTCAATAGGCCTCTCGAGAGGAGGATTTGAAGGGAGCCGACGACTACGACTAACACAAACACTGCAAATCGAACGAATGCTGCATCGGGGAGACACATTGTTCCCTCTCTCTCTCTCTCTCGCTTTTGCAACGAGCCCTTTTTTCTTTTCCATACACACCGCGTTGCTGATTGTTGAATTCGTGGCCTTTTCATACAAAATTTGATCGTCAACTGTACCTTCTGCCCGCGACTCACTTCCCCCCGGTATTATCACCTCCCTCGTTCAAAGCGAGCTTGCATAAGCTGCGCGTTTTCTCCGGGGGATGCCGATGACCGAGAAAAGTGTGCAATTCCGATTTCTCGATAAATCGAGGTAGAAAAAAAAAGAAAAGGCGCTGTGGTTACGCGTCGTCGAGCACTCGGGGAGGGTTGCTTTTCACTCTCTATTAAACTTTCCCCGGACAAGGGAAAGGCGGCGCTGGTGCTTTACTCCGTGGATTCCTTACCTCACCCCCCCCCCTTTCCCTCTGTTTCGCTAATATCGTCACGGGAGCAGAGAAAGAAAAAGGAGAATCGCTGCCATCGAGGAAAAGCGCCCGAGGGAGGCTACTGACTGAATCGATAGGTATACCCATACGTACATATATATACTGCGACAGGATGACTCTGGGAGGGGGTGGCCATTGTCTCCACTGCGAGGAGTTATTTGGAATCTGACGGGGTGGCCTAATGAATTTGACGCTTTTAGAGCGCCTTTCTGCGAGTCTAATTGCTCGAGATGATTAAGCTTTTTTGGAGAGTATATACACAAGGGTATGGGCGACGACTAAACTTCGTTTTACGAGGCGTTTTGTGATTTTATTATTCATCTAGTAATTCAATATATCTCGATGGGTTATCGATACAAAATGTACTTACATTGTGTATCGATCCACGTGGGTAAGTCATGGGTCCTCGAGCTGGTGCGCGTATCAAAGGCCTGTGTGTGCACACGGAGGGGAACCTCGAAAGGTTAACCAATATTGGCAGAGGCCACGTAATTACTCCGAGCGCGTTTGCTTTCAATATATACATGTTACACTCGAAGATTCGGCATTGACCGAATGTAATTGCACGTACGGGCGATCGAAAGCTCACAATATAAACGTATTGCATTAATACAAGTGTTGGCGTTTGTCTCGATTCATGATGAGATTTATTGGAGCTTTTACGCACAAGTGCGGCGATACTTTTTACAATCTCCCGTCTCTCTGGTATACATGTAGCCTCTATTCTCCTCCTCCGCAGCCACTCTGATTAATTATTTCTGTCTCTCTCGGGTTTTCTCATCTGCATACCAGAGCGAGAGTGAAAGAGAGCTTGCATTTCCCTCCTGCGGCTCTCCCTCGTTTCCTCCCATCCATCGAGGCCGGCTGCATTAATTCGCGTATTGCGCTCGAAAGAGGCGAAGCGACAGCAATCCTAGGACTAGAAAGCCACTCTGTCACTCGACCCATACGCACTCGCTCTCCCCGTGTAATGACTTTTTTTTGACGCTCTACGGCTCCTCTCTTTCGTGAAATGCCTCCCTCCCTCTCGTACATACATATATACACATTTTTTTTTTTTTTATTCCTCCTCCTCCTCCTCTTTCCATTTCGCGTTTCTGTATGCGGCTTTTATTGAAAAATAAAGGTCCGAGCGGTCCAGAGGGACAAAATTGCGGAAACGAAAGTTTCAAGCTCATTTTTCGCGTTCCCACAAGCATACGTATACGAAAAAAGCACCCCTGTCGATCGTCCTTTATTTTATTTGCCGAGCAACTTTATTAAACCGAGCCTCCCGTCGCACACGACGCTCATAATGGCGCGTAATCCCGATTCTTCTTACGCGAGAGCGAGCCAATTACACACAGGTACACCGAGCGGCCATACTCCCTTTGTGTATAATAACGCGGCTAAACGTCGGCAGCGTCGCGGAGGTCTCCCCGCGTCACATGGCCGCCGTCTTTGCGGCTTCGCGTATAACGTACACAGGTATACGTCCGCAGAGAGAGAAAAACGCCGCTGCAGAGGAGAAAAACCGGTTTCGCGCTTTTGACTCTATTACAACGAGCCAAGGAGGGAGGGGGGGGGTAAAAAATACACATACACACCGGCGGCGATCCCTTTGCCCCCGCGATCTCTCTGTGCGGGCCCGAAAATAATATTGAGTCAGCGGCGGGAATATACATCGGCGATTACAGATCACCCCCTTTTTTTCACCAGAACAACGACCCAAACTCCAGCCGTGGGAATTCACGTGTCTCCTTGCTCGTCCCCGCGCAGCTTTTTTTTTAACGAGAGCCATCATCGTAGTCGTACTCGCGCTCTCGTACAAATTTCAGTAAACAACGCAAGAACCCCTAGTTGTCTTTTCGCCCTGCACTGCCAGGCGGGACAAAGAGCCCTCGCTCGCAAACAGTTTTTCCGGGCGAAGCTCTCTACAAAAACCAAACGAAACAGAGAAGCCTTGCGAGCCGGGGTGTAAAAAAAAAAGCGGAAAAAGTTCGCTCATATAAGGAACAACAGATACGTGCACCTATGTGTATATATATATATATATATATGTACGAGTCGTCGTCTCGGTGGAGCCTTTTATATATAGGAGCTGCGCTGTGAAAGGCCGCCGAGGAAGGGGAGTACGTCACGCGCGGGTGGAAGCTAGAGTGCTCTGCGCCGCGGTGTACAGTGCGAAATAGAGAAACGCTCCGGATTCACCGCCCCTGTGTATATACGTACAATGGGGTCTTGGCTGTATTTTCATCGAAATTCAACGACGGAGGGCAATTTTTCCGGATTTTCTTTTATTTTCCACGTTCGTGTTTTTTTTTTTTTTTTTTTTTTTCTCTTCCGCCGTCCATCTGTGCGAGCTCCAAGGGTGGATGGGGGGTGAGAAAAATAAGAGTTTTATTCGGGAAAGGGGCGCTGCTCGAATGGAGACGCGACTGGGGTATACGCACAGTGCCAACACGGGGTTTCCGTGGATGAGTTATGGCGACTTTATTGGCCGGGAGCCGAGGGAGCCGAGATTCATGGCTCATAGTTTTTAGGCCGAGGGTAATCAAACGGTGCGTAAATAATTCGAGCCCCGAGTCTGAGTAATGCGGATCACGGGTGGTGGTCGCGTTACGACAATTAAGGTCATGATTTTTTTTTTTTTTTTTTTTTCATAGGAAGATAAAACTGGTTTGAGTGGGAATTATTGAGTCAAAAGAGAAAGAAAAAAAAAAAATAGTCCAAAGATGCGACGGGAGAGAAAAGAAAATTATAATTAGGAAAGACAAAGCGCAGCCCCCGGGAGGGGAGAAAAAGCTCTTTTTTAGCAAAGAACTCGGGATGAGATGAGCGTCGGCGCCGGCAGCGGTATTAGCTAAAACGAGCCCCGGCACTTATCGTTTAACTTCCGGCTTACGAAGTTGCTGAAGTGTGCACCGGCTTCTAAAGCTCGGGGCTACCGAGTGGTATCTCGCGACGGAGAAATTAGATTAGTTCGTTCGAGCAGTGCGTCTGTGTTTTTCTCTACACGTGACCAAGTGGTTAACATCAACGTGTTACACGCTACATGACTATATCGTGTACTACTGCAACTTTGGGCGTGTAAGATTTCGTTGCAAAATCGCGAACTATACTTGTAAGCTACTTCGATCGAGTGTAATGTGCGATACAGGTGTCGCGTGTATGTACAGGTGCACCCAATGTCTTATTCGCGCCCATGTAAGCCCGGATTTGTAAATCGATCCCTTCGTGGTGCACTTACATATATATATATATATATATTATATCGCGATGATGTTCAAAATATAGTTCAAATGCAAACTCGTCCGATTAGCTTATGTCATTTTCATTCAAGGGTTTAATCATCAAATGTCTTATGTACACTTAAAATGAGTTCTCAAACAAATTAATAAAATGAAGGTTTTAAAAGTTTGCAAGGAAATTTTAAATACTCTTCAAGTTGAATTTAAAAAATGAAAAAAAAAAAAAAAGACTTTCCAAGCCCGAAACGTATACGTACATAGCACTATAACGAAAATCACCGCATCGGTCCCATACTTCACTTCGCAGTTGGAAGTCTAAATAAGTAGTCGCACTCGAGCCTTTGAGACCACATCACCATAAAACGTTCCGCTGAGCCTATCCGTATATACACACGGGGAGTTGGGTCGACACCTCGAGGGAGGGAGGGGGGGGGGGTCACAGAAGAGCTTTTCAAGGGGACGCCTGCGTGGGGGTTGTGGGGCCAAAGGACTCTTCCTCGAAGAGCCCCGGCTTGGCGTTATTAAGCGAGTAAATTAATAGCAGCTCGACGGGATCGTCGCTGGGGAGACGCCGCGCGAGGGGAGGCGCACACCCTATAGACTACACCCAGTGATAAACAATGCGCTCCGAGAGTAAGAGGGATTACTTGTGTATATATGCAGCGTATATATGTATACATAATCGCGTGTGCACTTGATGCTGCGTGACACTGACATGGAGTCGTTGAGGGGTCGAGAGCTCTCTCTCAATGATCTTGGATTCCGGTCATTTGAATCCATCGAGTGGCCACGTGTTATCGTTATATGCCTACTTGGGGGGGGGGGGGACCTGCAAAACCTCCTTATCCCTCCCACCGCACGTCGTGGAAAAACTACCCTCATCCCTCTTCGTATAAATAAACCAAGCCCGAAACTTTCCCTCTCGAGCGTATAATGTAGGTACAGGGGCCGCGTGCATCGCTTCGTTTTCATAAATCTTCCAAGAGCGCGGATCGTCCCTCTTCTCCTCTTTTTGTTCTTAAAAAGACGAATAAGAAGGAGGAGAAAAACCGCATGGCATCGAAAATTCACTCACAAATAAACGCACGGTCTCGTACACCCTATACCATCCACCAGGAGAAGGGGAGATAAAAGCTGGCACCTGTGGGAGCCGCAGAGTAGGCGTGCGTCGACGTCGAGAGGAGACGAAAGAAGGGGGTGGGAGGCTGGGAAGACAAGAGAGGTGGAGTGAAAACGTGGGGGAGAGCCTATACTATAGCTAGGTAGGGTTGCCCGCGCGCACACACGTACATCGCACACGGAGAGCCCGCAGGGCGAGAGAGAGAGAGAGAGAGAAGAAGAGGAGGAAGCCAATCAATAAAGCCGGCGCTCGGTCTTCGGTGTATATACAAGGCACATGTAGGTATAGAGCAAAAGCAGAGCAGTGCTGCGAAGCGTTATATTATATATGCTAAGGGAGAGTACCCACTACGAAATTTCGGCTCGATTCGCTGCGCTGGCGAACTGCCTAGGCTATACGATAGGAATAAGCCTCCATATTATGTACGCCCACTCCCACGAGCGTAGATATATATATATATATGTACGTAAAGTAAGTGTGCGCGTACAACCTCTTTCCCTTCCCCCCGGGCTCCTTTCTCTCCGGCTGCTTTACGTATCACTACCCTCGTCTGCTCTTATTTTGGCCTTTTACCTTTCATTATTTTTTTTCCTTCCCTCCCTTTTTTTTTTTTTTTTTTCTTTTAACTCCACTGCACCGCTTTGCATCGTGTGTGTTCTCGTTTGGAGCTCTTAACATTTGTATTTTTCACGAGTGTCCTTCGTACCGTCGCGATTTTTTGTGGAACGAACTTTACTCAAACGCCAAACTACTTTTAACGGAGATTACCACTACGGATCCCATACACCATCTACCCACCGAAACGCGGTTACTCTGAAAAAAAAAAAAAAAAATGTATATGCTCGTTTTTTTCGTCCCTGTTTCAGTGGGGATTACAACCTCTCTCTCTCTCTCTGCTCCGATCCTTCCTTGCACGGCTACACGTAGACACCACGAACCCATTTCCCTCTTGAGCCACAGCCATTTTGTAAGCGCGGGCGCGTTCGCTCGGTAATACGTTCGTCGTGTTCGTCCTTGCGAACGAGCCAATCGCGGGGGGGTGGGGGAGCTACACTACCAGCCACACAGCGGAACCCACCCTCCCTTCGATCTCCCTGTATATATACCTCGTTCGTCGCTCCGAGGGACTATCTCCCCCCTTCCCTCCTCCTCCTCCTCTCTGCATATCCACTTCTCACTCGACAGATAGGTGCAGATACAAAGCGACGCGAGCTCTTTGCTCTCCCGAGAGAGAGCGAGTTAAAAAGGGGTTTGTAAGGGTGTAGGAGGGGGGAGGGGGGATATATTTGTTGGGCTGGATTTAGCAAGCCCGGGAGAGCTTGGTCGGATTATACTGGATTTTTCATGAGGCGGGATCTTGGGTTATACCGGGGCGGCGGCGCTCGATCAAAGCGACAGCCTTGCTCTTAAATGCCTCGGGAGCACCGATGCGGCCTGTAGCGATCAAAGGTTGCTCGGGAGTGGAGCAAGAGTGGCCTTTTGAAAAATCACACGCGCTCTCGCAACACGTCAACATTCCACCCGTGAGCTTATGCACACGTCAAATCTATAAATATCGTTTGTACACCAACGAGTTGGGAGGTACAAGTGCGTACATGGACGACGGGGGAAGTAGAAACAGTTGGCGCTTGGTAAGACCATTGGCGGAATTATCATTTCATCATCTTTGACCTACAAACTCTTGAAGCACTTTATTTTACCCGCAAAATTCGATGTTGGAGCAAAAAAACTTTTGTAATCCAGTAGTAGTATGGGAAAAGAAGTAATCAAGTGTCACGAAAGTCTTTACAGTGACGCTGGAATAAAAGTATAGTCATCAAAAATGTCGCGTTACATCGCAACGGTAACATCACGTTGCATCAATCCCCATATAATATCCCAACACGCTGTAACGAAATCTCTCTCACAGTGTTGCTTCTACGAAAAGAAAGAAAGAAAAAAAAAATCCGGAATTTGCATTAAAAAAATGAAACAGTCCATTAATCAATCCCCCTCGTCATCATCCGAATTCTCTCTTCATCTTCTGACGTTGTATATCATATACCCGTCACCCATATCCAGCCGTCTCTCGCGCTAATCCCACTTTCCGGAAGAGAAACGGCTCCTCCTCGGACCGTCTCAGCCCCGTTTCGTCACGTAGGTATATTTCTGTACGGGAGGGATTAGCCGCGCGGTTGCACGCGCCGGGCTTTTAACGGCCTCGATAAATTTCGGGCCCTCCTCCTCTCTTCTTTTTTATCCTCCTCCATTCGGTCAACTATCGTCGTTGTTCTTGTTGTTCCTTTGTACGCCGTAAAGTGAATTACTCGGCGATTCGGATATCTCCCGGAGGAAGGAGGAGGACCCCCCCGGTTTTATCACCCCCCGTAAGACTCGTCCGTCAGACTGTTTACCTTTGTCTCGATTTTACGAGCAACGCCAAGGTTGTTGAGCGCGGAGATTTTTTTTTTTTTTTTTCTAATTTGTAATTGTACACATGAACACATTTCGAGGACAATGGAGTTTTTTTTTTCCATTCGCAACGTTACGAGGAATTGAAGGTCCATTTAACTCGAGGCAAAGTAAGTGGAATAAAAGAACTTGGGAGACAGGAGGCAGCGATGCCCGCAGTACAGACAAATAATATATAAAAGTATAAAATGAAAGGCTGTAGAAAGGAGTGCGAATGAGGAGGTATGATAAAAAAAAAAACAAAAAAAAAACGAAGTAGAATAACAATAATAAACATGTACATATATGCACATATAATACATACCCATAGGCGGCGAGCGTCGGGTCGTAAGGGTAGTAGCCGGTGGCCGCGGGCTGGAGGGCCGCAGTGCCCCAGGCGGCGCCCATGTCCGCCGTCATTCCCATCCCCGTCGCGTCCTTCAGCCCGTACGGATTTCCCTGCAAGAGAGAGAAAGAGACCCACGTTAGCCCATTCATTTCGTCGCATACGGTATACACACACACGCATATATATATATATATACGTAACCCCTCCAGCAGTGCCGAGCCATTGTCTGGAGGCTCCGTCCCTTTCTTTTTTTTTTTTCCTCCTGCTCTCGTTCGTTCCTTTTTTTCTTTCTTTATTTCCTTCTTTCTTTTTTTTTTCTGCAAAGAGACAGTACACCTCGTGTATACGTACAGTTGCGCTGTAATTTTTTTTACCCTGTCCTCTTTAGCGTGCGCTTTCGAGCTTGCGAGCTTCGGTGCGGTGCATTAATTTAGACACAGGATATATCATGCATGTTTTTGTACTCGAGAGCCCCTTTGTCAAGCGTCACGAACTCTGTACGTACAATGTTTTGACCTTTCATCGCATTGGAAGAGAAGGAAAAAATAAATTGCTCGCCTTTCCTTTCGCTCCTGTATGGATTCGAAAATGAAACAACCAAAAATGAAGGAAAAAAAAAAAAAAGCTCTATGAGCAAGCTCGTACGTCACGATTATCCGAGCGAGTTATGCGACTAATGGCAGCATAATAGGATGTTATTAGTCCCGGGGCTTATACGGAAAGCCGTGGCTTCTGCCGCGCGCGCATTACTCACCGGCGGTGGCGCCGGCGCGTTTCGTATTTCGGCCTCTTTCCCCCCCCCCTCCTTCGTGATGCCGTACCCACCGTCGACTTACTTCTTAATTCCCCCCCCCCCTCTTATACCTTCCTCCCGAGACGTACTCGTTTTTTCACTTCTTCCTTACGGTATAGTGTATATAACACACGTGCGCCCCGTATTCGGGCTTTTGACGATTTATAAACGCACAAAAAGCGCAAGGAGTGCTGTTGGGTATTATTCGGAGACGCTGTGTTTTTGGCGGGGGCCCTTTGAAGCGTCCCGCCAAGGCCAATTGTATACATATATACGCTTTGAAATTAATCGTGCAAGTTATTGAATTGCTTCGGTATAATATACCGTATACTGTAGTTTTAGCAAACCCTTGAATGCAAAGTATGAAACTCGCGGTTTGAACGTCCACGTCTCGCGAGGTATATACACCCCCAGATTTTATACCTTTGTCTCTCGTGCCCCGGAAAAGAAAACATCACGACGGCAAGTAGACCAGAGCCCAGAGTGTGTATAGTCGGGATCAGAAGTGGAGTAAAAAGAGGAGGAGGAGGAGGAGGAAGGAAGGAAGACACGGCTGCTCTGCTCCTCGAGTGCTCCTTTAATGGCGAACCACGGGTGGTCCGCGGCTCAACTATTGTTACATACCTACGCGGCGCTCTCTGGTAACGGCCGTCCACCTCCTCCACCACCACTGGCTTGTATACCTGTGTACGTAAATGTGTCGCACGAGAGAGAGAGAGAGAGATGAAGCTGGCATCGGAGGGGAGGGGAAAAAAAATAAATAAGGACGAGGCAAGTGCGCGGGAGAGTATTATTCGAGTCACGTGCACATACGTATCTCATGACTGAAATAACTCTACTCTATGTATTCTCGCTCGATTAAAAACCTTATGATCATGCTCCATCCCGTTCCGTCTCGATCATCGATCGTACCAATATATATAAGTGCGCGCGTGTTTGCGACTGGCCCGTGCACACGTGGGTAAAGTACATCAACAGCCCCTTTTTTTTTATTCTTTCATTCTCCTCCGGAGCATCGTGTGTGTCTGTCCTATTGCCTCGTTTTTGCGTACACACCGGATATGTGTGTGTACCCTGAATGCATCAGGTATACGAATGTAATACAAGTATACGGAGAAAGAGCGCCGCGCTCGTGATTGTCCCTCGCGCATAAATCAATTTGTTCTCCCTCCTCGTCTGGCGTCTCTTTCCTTCTCTTCTGGTTTTTTTTTTTTTTTTTTTTTTTTTTCCCTGTTCGGTTCTTTTGTCAGGGGGAAATCAGCGCATGAAAAATCCTAATAGACCGACTTGTTGGAAGAATAAAACAAACAAAGTTTCTTCTTCTTCCCGTGTAATTGAGACCTGTCGCGGCTTCGTTTTTACACTCTTGCTCGTCCTCCTTCATGTATTTTTAGAGCCTGTACTTTTTTGCGAGCTGCATACGTTGTACGTACCAATTGAGCCGAAGAGGGACAAAACAGCGCGAATCTACGATACATCGAGACAGCATCCTGATGTGCGATCAACGCATGTCCATTACTCCAAAAATCGTACAAAAATAGAGGAAAATTTTTATTTTTACATTTTCAATAAACTTGAATCTTTGATTGAATTTGATAATACGAGATAATAAATCATTGCTGCCTTTACGAAACCTCCATCCAAGTGAACACAGCTTACTGAAGACCATACAATATGTTCCGCAATGCACGTGATTCCAGTTTTACGCTCCGACTCGCGCTAAATAGATCCTCGCGATCGATGGACAAGAAAATTCGTACCTGTTGGAATCGGCCCGTATCTCATAAGCTGTACACTACCTGCCGTTGCTATCACCATTGACTAACCCATTTTCATCCACACCAGTCCCTGGACGCTCAAACGCGCTTCGTACCTACAAAGTACAGCAGTGGGCAATCAACACCTACACCCCACCTCCCAACGAGCAAATCCTTTTTGCCACTACTTCCTCCCCCCTCCCCCATTCGTATAAAATTATATATTAAAACACTCATGCAGCTGAGCTAACCAGACGGCCAGAGACAGACTGTGTATATGTAGCAATGTAGCTGTAGGTTTGAAAGGCACAACGATGCTGGTAAACGATTAAACAACACGGCCGTGCCGTCTCCGCGCCTTTGTACTTATCGCGGTCGCAAACGCACCCGAGTAGTGCAGCTTAGAACGTGAGGGGAGAAAGGCTGCCCTTCCTAATTAAGAGGACTGTGCTCCGGTACTTACATGTATGTATCAACACAGAGCCAAAGTATCAGTTTGATTAATGCCAGTCGTCGGCAAGAGTTATAGCCCGGCGATACCAACGCGCGATATACCTACGCATTTTACACCCCAAGCGCTTCTCTGTGTGATGCATGTGTATAAGGTTCCGTCTCGTTTGCCGCTTTTTTTTTTTATATTTGAAAGGCTTCCGTGCACGCACCTGCGACCCTACGGTGCACGCGCGTGACCTTACTCTTTTCTTTTTATATGCACTTACTTGCGATATGCTACTGCAGTGTTTCTACTTATGGATACTAAGTTGAGACCTACCCAACGTAACTACATATATGAGTTTGCAATTTTCGAGAGTTTAAGTGGTGTGTGTAAAGATGAAGGTGAATGTGTGTTTTCCGCGACCCGCACCGCCAGTATAGGTATGTGCGCGATGAAAGTGCGAGTACCCGTGTTTGTTGTGCGCCCTCTGTTATCTCTGCTACTTTTGTGTACATTATATATATACATATATATATATATATATACACACACACAAACGTAAACGAGGGGAAATGAGCTTCATACCCATACCGTGTACGCGTGTAATAGGTACGATCTTTTTTTTTTGTTTTTTTTTTGTGGTATCAGCTTAACATATACCATTTGTAAGCCCATCCTTGTATGCACACACGGCATATAGAGGGTAATTAAATGTGTAAGGTTAATTAAAGAGCTCTAATGCATTGTGTGTGTAGATATACTGTACGCGCGCGTACGACTCAGTTAGGGGAACATAATTGTTCAATTTTTGCCGTATAAATAATGCCTAATAATGGTAATGAAGGCAAAAAAAAAAAGAATTCGCGTGTACAGAGTTACCAATTAACTTTAAACTGGACCCAAGTCCCGCAAATGAATCTCGGAACCTAAAGTGGCGCCACGAATCGACTCGACTTTTGAGATTACAGCCATGGACAGCGCGCATAAACGCTGCATATAACTGTATACCGAATGTAACACAATGTATGTATTATATACAGCAGCGTCACCTCGTCTTCAATTTTTCGCATTTTTTTTTTTTTTTTTCCTTTATCCGCGGACCTGTTTTCACCTACCCGCAGGTAAATGTATACGTTTATCGAGACACACCACATGCAGTATTTATAGGTATTAAAATAAACGGAAGAGAGAGAGAGAGAGCTCATAAATACGGGAATCGCCTCCCGTGGCGCGCCGCCCATTTTCTCGCATTCAATGCTAATCCGATTCTTATTATATTATAATGCAAGTGTAGGTACACGCGTTGCGATAGTCCTGCTGTACAGGGGTGGCGCTCGTTTTTCCACCCCCCCCTCCCTCTAAACGACGACGGATCGTGCATTGCATTGTGCAGTGTACGTACAAGTGCGCGAATTTACGACCCGGAATTTTAATTTTTATTAATTGACCGACGATTGTGCGCTTCTCCCTCCCACTGTATACATACCAATTCTTCTGGTGGTGGTGTTTGGTATGCTGTACGTGTACCTCGGTAACATTGTCCGCGTAACGTTATAGCTGCGACCGATTTCCCTTTGTTTATGTACATAAACCAAGTGATTTCTTTGCATTTGTTCTTAAACTTTCTTTTAGTACTATACGTATACTCTTTACGAATCATCTGAATCTAAAAACTGAGGTGTCGTCTTTCGGGCCGTACTCGAAAAAGAAAAAAAAAAAAAAAAAAAAAAAAAAAAAAAAAAACATCCAATGACCCAATCTAAAACCTCGTCGTCCACCGATTTTCCTCTTTCCCGCGTTTGAGCGAGCAGCAGTTAGTCAGGCGAAGCTTGGAAAACGATTATAAATAAGATCAGATACCCGGCAAAAGGCATACATATACATACCTAAATATTAAACGCTGCGCGAAGCTGGTTCTCGGAGAGGGGTGGGGGTGGCACGAGCTCGCGAGTTAGCGCTATAGCTGTTGTATGATTACACGATGTATTGGGTGTATGTATTATCGACGAGGCCACGGAGGGAAGAAGATATTATATATGTATACGTGTTTCCATCAGATACAGGGGCACGAAGGTAGACATTACTCTGTCCGGGGGAGAGAAAAGTTTAGGTGCACGCGTATAC